TTTTTTTTTTTACCACTGTTTCTATTGGGTTTCATCTCTAGCCTACCCCAACTTGTTTGGGACCAAAAGACTTTGTTGTTGCTGTTGTTGTATTATTTCAAGTTAAATTAAAAATTTTAAATTAAATAATATTATTTTATAGTAAATAAAATTATGTAAATTAAATAAACATATTTGAACAATTAATATTTTTAAATTAAATAATATTATTTTAAATTAAATAAAATTATTTAGATTAAATAACATTTTTAAATAAAATAAAATTATTTGAATTAATATTTTAAATTAAATAGTATTATTTTAAATTAAATAACATTATTTAGATAAAAATATTTTTTAAATAAAATAAATATTTAAATTAATGTTTCTTAACTTAAGTAATATTTTTTTAAACTACAAAAAATGTTTTAAATTAAATAAAATTATTTAAATGAAATAGTATTTTTTAAATTAAAGACAAAATGGTCATTTCATTAGTGGGATAAAGATATTCACCTATTTGATGAGATTGAATTATCCAGCCGCATATGCATCTTCGCGTGGAACCCACCTGCCACATACTTGCCACGTGGGCTAAATCCTATTCCCAATCATGTATAGTAAACGCAAGATAAGGATGGTTAATGACGGTATCTCATCTCATCCTGGTAAATAAACGAGCTTTTTGTTGTTTTTGAGATTTAACAACTAATCTGAATTGTGTTGCTTTGATTTTTATTTATTTGTTTTCTTTTTGCGTGTATTTGTGAAACATCTTTGAACTTTTATGACATGATTGGTATAATGGAATGTAATTTGATAGAAGTAGGCTACGTTGAAGAATAAAATGACTATGAGAAAGAAATAAAACAAGTTTTTTGTGTGTTTGGTTTGTAGAAAGAATAAGATCTGAATGAAATAAAATGATATTATCACCGTGCATTATCATTTATCAATATTTTATTAAAAAACAATTTTAATCTTGTAATAATGTTATTTTTTTAGTTATGACAATACTAAAATTATTTTATTTTATTTTATTTTTAAAAATATAATTATTGTAATTAATATATATCAGTACTGTGTATATATTTACATACACATTAACTAATACAATTATATTATTATATATACCCCTATAAGCATATGTTTTAGGTTTTAGCTTACAATGTTCATTAATTTTAGTATTTTAATACTAATTGTTGTACACATTATTGCCCAAATACGCCCAAGCCCATGAAATAAGCAGGACCGACCCAAAAGCTATGCATCATGTCGAACTCTCCCAACAAGATAATTGTTGATCACCTTGTAGAAGATCATTGTCGATCTCTCTATCGTGTGTGAACGATCTCTGACAATGGAATCAGTAAATCTACTGCTCAACTGGTTCATCATGAAAAACCGAAAATGCAATTCAAGTCGGATTTTTGCATGACAACACGTGTCAACTATCTAGGCCTTAGGTGACATACTATCACATATTTTTACTTTTTTTTT